GGGTCGAACACGTTGCCAAACATGGCGGAGCCGATCATTTGAAAAGTTCAATTCGGTAATGTCATTTTTTTAATAATTATTGTTAAATATACCGATTCCTTATAATAAATATGCATATGAATATTATACGAATACCCATTTGAGTATAGCGATATGATTTGAATAATTCTACTAAGTTTTGAAAGCTTCGTTGATATTTCTTCATTTAAATTGTAAAGCACTTACACTCCAAGCCAAAAGTTTCGGAATAATAATTCTATAGATCCAATAACTGTTATTAAATCTGAAGAATTATTATTAAAGACAGAATATTATTATGAATATTTCAATTCGTAAAAATGTTAATTTTTAAAAAGTGTTTTTAAACTTTTGATCTGGAGTATAGATAATTAATATGGAGTATCTTTAATGAACCATTGTGCGAGTATTCTTATTAATTATAGAGTCTATAGAAATTTTATCTTGTTTCTTTTACAACGAACATTTGACGAGAGAATAAAGTCCCTTGTAAATATTTAAATTACGTTATTAGATATACTGTCGATCAAAGTGAAAAAATAAGGTATAAAGTTAAATATAATATTTCAGGTACATGAGCGTGTTCCATTATTACAGCGTGGATGTCGTGCTATTTTATATATTCAGTTTAATTCTGATAATTTATGGACTTAAAAAATTATGTTGGCGAGTGGTAATCGGTCAAGATGTCTTTAAGAAGAAAGTAGACTGACGGATAAAATTCTGTGAAATTCTCTGCCAAATTAATTTTATTTATTGTAGCGAATAGGATGTGTCCTCTTAATGATATGGTAAGTATTGGGACTAAATAGAGATTATATAAATCGAAGGATATTCTCGACTTTTTAAAGATCTCTAATATATTTTTTATAAGTTGTAATTATAGCTCAGCTATTACGCTATCGATTTGTAATTATACGATTCATGATAAATTTGTTTTATTTGTATGTCATCTGTAATGTGTCTACATGACAAACTAAAAAGATTTATACGTGTATGAAATAAGAGACATTTATGCGTATATACTGTAGTGTTTTCATTGAATGAGAGAGAGAGAGAGAGAGAGAGAGGAGAGAGAAATTCATTAACCGCTGATATAATAGGAATCTACTTTTCGGAAGATGTTAAGCTATTTTACAATTGCGTGAACGTAGTTGTAAGTGGTTGTAATTGTAAGAATTGATTAATCATATTCGAATATTTTCCTCATATTTGACTGATAATATTTGTGAGATCGGTTAATGTTACAACTACAATCACTTACAACTACGCTTACGCAATCATAGAATGGGGTTTATAGCGAATGAATATCGCAGCCATGACACCATTTTTTCTACGTTATCCATATACCCTATTCTATAAAAAGATAACAAATTCAATCTCATAACTTATCTTAATTAAAATTTCAAATTAAAATTTCAAAAATTTGGCGCGACAATTGACATCTATCGTTATGAAAAAGCTTATTATCTCAAATCAATTTTAATTAAGTAAATCGACAATTATTAAACGATAAATTCTGTAATCGATAAGTTGTTAAATAAACTTATAAAATAATCAGTAAAGCGCCGAATAAAATAGATTTATACAATAGGAGGATAGCAACATGTTCGAACGCCGTTGTACTTTTTTAAACAGAATTGTTCGATATTTCAAAGTTAGCGAGAAAATTGGCGAGAATGTTCCTGACAAAAATCAATACGCATAACAATTAACTAATAGAAGCTTGATGGAAGGAAATACACACAAAGGAAGATGTCAAAGGTCAACGGACGTGTCTACCTACGAGGAGCGTTTCGAAGGATTAATAATGTTGATGTGCAACATAGAGAATCGCTTTAGAGAGGGCTTTCTGCACACGTGTTCGTTTATGCAAACGTATGCAGAAACTGGCGATTGGCCTAGAGCGAGTTTGCGATATTCGATGAAGGAGGAAGTGCTGTCGTGTAGAAAAAAAAAGCCGGTCGCGAGCTTGGGAAAAGGGTGCCAGACGGTCGAGAGCGGAAGTGATCGGAAAGAAGGCAGGCCAGATGTTCGTCGAGCTCATTTACGACGCCAATTTATTTACGCCTGCTTAAATATATTTTATCTAAAAATACGGGAGATATCCAGGCTCGCGGAGGTCAGGTATGCCGATTAGCTTTATCGATTTCACACGACACAGTGGCGCAATGAAAACAATCGTTATCTGACATCGTTCGCGCGATAAAATAAACAAATCGATCGCGAATGGGAGATTCAAGGACCGTCGCTCTCGACAAAGAGAAGTAGTACTAATCAGAAAATAATGACCACTCGGAATTTAATTGGTATTGCCTCTCGACTACAATTTGCTTTCGAACAATTTCATTTTAATCGTATTCATTTATATTCTCCTGATACATTCAAGATAACGCGAGAAACTAATATGAAAGTTTGATTATAAGCGAACATTTCACAGTTGCTAAAATACGCAATTCAATTCATGGCGTTAATTTGCGGAATTTATTGTAATTTTCATGTATGCTGATTTTCCTGTTCCTCCAGAATCCTATTACTATTCATGATATGTAAGAACGTCAGGTGTAACATTACGCAACCTGAATATAATTTGGAGCAAATTTCTGACTAGTGGCAAATTTTTAATAGCGGCTTTATATCGACTTATAAAATTTGAAACTAATTTCAGATTGGTCACAAATGTCGTTATTATTTTGAACGACTGCGCGTCCTTGAAATTGATTTACCTGATCTTTTTACATCATGTTATTTTCATAAAGAGGAGACTTTTTATGCTCCATTTCTACCGATGCAAATTAATTTTAATCTCGGTTTAATTGTCCGTTATCTTCTTCTAATTCTTAAAACTGAAAAAGGATAAAAAATCTGCATCCGGTAGAAATGAACATTAATAAAAATCTCCCTTTTAAAACAAACAAAAACAGAAATACTTTAGGAGATCGACAATTTTATCTCTGAATAAAAAAAAAAAAACATAAGTATTGACGTACCCATGGCAATTTCGCTTCGATTACGTCGAGGCTTCATTCTCGACTTTATTCGTCGAGCACGACGAATCTTTTGCATCAATCCAGTGTAATAACGCAATGAAACGGTTGATCGTCCTCTCAATTTCACCTTGTTGAGGAACCGAGGGCACATCGAATCGACGATTGTTAAGAAAAACGCCGGAGGTGATTCACGCTGGCGACCGCGCGGCGACGCTCGCGTCGACGCTCCTCCCCGCGACTCCGTGGGACGTCCCTCACAGTGTGCCGTTGCGTTCGCGGCTATGTTCAGGCAGCGTCGGTCGGTGCGACGGTGCCTACAATCGCGCGGCTCGATCAGTAGCAGCTGACTCGCTGGTCGGAGTGTACGTTGTTGCGCCGCCTACTCGTTGAAGCGAGCCGCGCACGCGCGCGTCCGCACGCCCGCCCGCCCGCGTTCGTTCGACGGCGAGAGAGTTTACTCGCGTACAAACGAAAGCCGTCCGAGTCCGAGATAGTGTGCGCGTCGTCGTCGTGCCTGCCTGCCTGTCCGTTCTGTGTCAGTGCCCTGTGCGTGTGCTCTGTGCGTGTCTCTCTTTCTTTCTTTTTTTCTCTCTCTCTCTCTCTCTCTCTCTCTCTGTGTGCCGTGCGCGGTGTCGTATACGTTCCGCGCGTGTGTATCTATACGTTCTCGAAAGAAGCGGAGAAGAGATATGCCGTTCGCAGTCTCTGTCACCGCCATCGCCACCGCGAGCTACTACGTGACAAACGGCGCGCACATGAATCGTGCGCACGCCGCGACGGACACGCACGACGAGGTGAGCGATCCCCACGTTGAGTTGAGCGTATAAAGAGCCACGCTTTTATACGCGCGCGCGCGAGTAGGATGTTAATCCGCGCCTCGCGCAGAAACAAAAGCAAGCGAACGAGGTGAGACTTTAGCGGTCCGAATGTAGCGCTGAATTAACTGTAATCAAATACGACGGAGAGAGGATTGCGAGAAAAGCGGCGGGACAAGTTTTATATATACATATATTCATACGCGGCATACACGTGCAAATGTATAGATACAATAAATACATTTATATGTCAAGTATAAATGTTTATATCAAGCGCGTGGATGGGAGGGATGAACAGGAAGAGGTGCGGAGCGGAAGAAGAACGGCGGGGACGCCGCGGCCGAGACTCGTGTGAACGCACGTGGGCTTTTATTAGGAGAGCCGACGGGAGCATGTGCGCGTTCTCCGGTCTATCCGAGGGAAGTTAGCGGGGTGGCGAAACCGGCACACTTTATGTGCACCTATAACGTACGAGCGGGCGATCGATCGCGCGGTCGACGCGCCGTATTTCGAGGTGGAACGACGGAGAAAGGAGCAGCAGCCCGGAGTCGACCCTTATCCGGGGGGAGGGGGGGGTAGGATTTACGCACGCCACGTCGCGTCTCGTCTCTTCACCGCGATCTTCTCCTCCCCCGTCGTCGCTGTCGTTCAAGTCATCGTCTCGTCGCGTTGTTCCGCACCGTCTATTGTTGTGCGTGTCGCGTGCGCGGCCATCGCCCGCCGTCGGCCGGGACGACGCGTCCGCTGCGCGTTTCTACCCTCTGACTGCCTTCTCGGCTGCCGCGTGACGTAATCCATTCAAGCGCTTACTACGCAATACAAGACACGACCGTCACTCTTTCTCTCTCTCTCTCTCTCTCGCTCTCTTCCTGCCCGCCGCTGCCATCCGCTCCGCTCGTCTCGCTCGCGCTCCGTCGCGCCCGCTCAATGCCTGCGACCGACTCTACCTCCCCACCAACCCCTCGATGCCTCCGCGACGCGACGCGACGCGACGCGGAGCAGCGCGGCGCGCCCTCCTTCTTCCTCTGTTTTGATCGCTCGCCGCCGGCGCAGAGTGCTCGCGCGATTGGGCGAGAAAACCGATCGACGGATGAAGCGCGAGAGAGTGACGCGAGTCCGTTTCACGTGGGACGCTTCGTCTCCGCGCGACGCCGGGCATCGAACACCGTTCTTCTTCTTCTCTCCTGTACTCGACGCACTAACGACGCGTCGTCGTCTAACCCGTTTAGTGTTCTGCCCTCCCGACGGTGGTGAACTTTGCGTGTCACGCCGAGTGAAAATCTAATGCCTACGTTAACTAAGTACGCCGTGGGGAATCTAAAGGTTGGTGTCACCGTTAACCGCACTTTCGTTCGTCCGTTTTGTCTCTTTATCCGTTTGACTGACTGACTGACTGACTGATCGAACGAACGAATGAATGAGCGGCAGACTTCGACGTTGTTTACCTTCGATTTCACCCTATCGCGAGACTGTGCCGATTATATCGAAAATTGAGAATCGCGTTAATGTCAACATAAGCCGGGAATCGAACGTATTTATCGGTCGAAATCGTAAGACGCGCACCGAGAATATAAGGAACCGCAGCGTCTCGCGTGTGAGATCCGCCCTCTTCGACCTCCCACCCTCGTACCTCCCTTTGTCTCCGGGCAGAGCACGCTTTCTTCCCCTGTAACGGTCGCATTCCTAAACCACAATTCGAAGACGGTGGAATACGTGTGTCGTCCGGCAAAGACGGATCGACCGAAGGTGCGCGTGTCTCTCTGCGTGCGAGAGGGACGCTTTTACCAAATGTGCGACGCAGTCGGTTCCGTGATGCCGCGCCGAGTGCGCGTCCGTCTCCCTTCGACGCGGAAAACGTGCAAGTGCTAGCGACGTTGTTTACAAACATGACTTTTGCGCGATAAAAATCCAGTCCGGGGAAAGCCGTGGTGCGCAAGTTAGTCGTAAAATTGAGAGATAAAACTTTTTTCACAATATACGCCCGGAGATCCTTTCAAACGGCGACGCGACGCAACGCGTCGATTCGTCGCCCACGTTCTGCATATGTGTGCCGTTAGTG